AGTGTCTTACATGTACAATGTGCAAATAAAAGCTTTCAGTTTACCCAACAGCAGTAATTATGCAACTTATTAAGGCTATTGAGACTTGAAGGGAGAAAATCAGCTTAATTAAAGCTGAATAAAACTAAAAAAAAAACACTTTTTTACATTTTTATTTGCAAGAAAACTATTAATTATACACGTGGTTTTCTCCACCCTAATAAAATCTAAACATATATATATTAAATTTGCTGTTTTGAACAATACAAAAAATGTATTAATGCTGTTTGGATAATTATCAATGATGTGTGAAGTTTATTGCACCGTTTTATTAGCTGCCTGTTGAATGTCAGAACTGATGTTTCCCCCAGCAGGTTATCTAATTAAGACAGTTCCTTTGTCAGGATATACAGTTATAATCTTCATTTTGTAAGTGGCAAATATTTGGGAATGGAATGAGAGCGGTGTTCTTCAGCTAAAAACAAAGTGCAATATTTTGGGGCTGGAGCCATGGATGCCTCCTCATCTGCAAACGTGCATGATGTAACAATGCGATGATGTGGCAGACTGGCGTATAAAGTGCTTCTCTACCTGGTTGTCAGGGCCACATCCCATAAAGTGAGCCCAGTTGATAAGAGCTGCCTTCTGTAACCCTAAGCAACTTCTCTAATCTGAGTAAGATTATAATTATTTAACATATATATGTTATGAAGTGTTATTTAAAGAGTTTGTCCAAAGTAATCTCTTTCCAGGGAAAAGAACCATAGAGATAGAGCTTCAAGGCTTATCTTTAACAAGCTTAATGACTCAAACTATGTATTGTAATTTCAGAGACTGGACTATGAAAAAGTGCACAGAGCAGGTAGAACACTATAAAGATGCAAACATTTGGATTTCTCCCCCAAGATGTGAAGGCAGAAAGAGTGAGTGACGTGTCTGGGTGGGAGGGTAAACACACTTGTCATGATGTATCTGTTAACAAGAATTTGTTGGTTGTGAGGAGAAATTAATGAGAAGAAAAAGAGGCTGAGGGCTTGCTTTAGGACGCATGGCGCATTACTGGAGTGGAAGAAGGGCTCAATATTTATTCAATAACTTAATTCTGTAAATTCGCTGAACTGAAAGACGGTGTTCTTGGTTATATATTAAAGAAACAGACAGATAAGAGGTAAGGAATTAGGCACACATGGTGAGATTTGTGGTGAACAGGTTCCATATAAAGAGCTTTGAGGTTTTCTGACTCATCTTGTAGAGACGTAGCGCCTGGTGCCACTCAGCAGGAGGTTCAGCTTTTAGAGGAAAGAAACAGCAGCATTTCTGAATAAAGGCAACTTGTGTTTCTTCATTGTCACTATGATGCACAGTTTCATCCTGCAGATTACAATGTACAATGCACTGTAGAATTGAGAAATTACATTGTAGACAGTGCAAAAAAAAAAGAAAGAAAAAGAAACACAAATGTCTGTTTTGAGCCACAGTAGCGCATTAATCTGTTAATTGCATTTTAGGAATCTGGATTCCTGTGCTTTGCTTTGTAAGAATAGGTTTTACAAACAGAATTTAGTGTTACAAAGTATTAAATAGTTGTGAAGTGTGGGAGGAAGGACAAATGGTTTTAAACATCTGTCAGTAAAATATGGCAGATATGCATGTTTAGGCGTTCTGTATCGGTAACTGTGGCCTAGTGGTTAGAGTGGAGCGGTTCATTCTGAGAGCACTACAAGTTCTAGTTTACAGTTCCTTTACACCTAGAATGCTTCCATTACCTACAATCTCTGTCCTGCTCCCCAAGAGTGAAAGGTTAAAAAAAAAAAAAAAATCATAAGAGGTTGAAAAATTGCAACGAGAAGATACTTTGCAGATCCACTATTCTCTGCAACTATATCACGCAAACAAAAAGACGGAGATGTTTTCCCTTTCTTATGAGCAAAATACCTGTGGTCTGTGAAATGCAAGTTTGCAAAAGACTTGATTATAAATCTAGCTGAAGTTAAATCTAGACTCAACTATTAAATATTAGCAGAGGTGGGTAGTAATTAGTTGCATATACTCAGTTACATTTACTTGAGTAACAATGTATTTCTAGGAGTAGGTTTACTGTACTTTTTACTTTCCTCCATCTGATATCAGAGATACGATTCTTCCTTACGTTCCTAACAGAGCACTTCGCTCTCAATCTGCAGGTTTACTAGTGGTTCCTAGAATTTCTAAAAGTAGAATGGGAGGCAGATCTTTTACTCATCAGGCTCCTCTCCTGTGGAACCAACTACCAGTTTTAGTCAGTCCGGCAGACAGCCTGTCTACTT